TGTATGAGTTATGGATGATGAAAATAGACGTCATATGAGATAAATAAAGTAAATGAAAACAAAAAGGATCTAAAAAGAGTAAGTCAAATCAAATTTGTGATCAAGGGAATGCTAGCAGATCGAGTTCTGGGCTCCCCAGTACAAGAGGGACATAGCACTACTGGAGCAAGTTCAGAGGGCTACTAAGATGATTAGAGGACTGGAGCACCTGTCATATGAGGACAGGCTGAGAGAACCAGGCCTGTTTAGCTTGGAAAAAAGACTGAGGGGAGACCTAATTAATGTGTATAAATACCTGAAGGGAGGATGTCAAGAGGATGGAGCAAGTCTCTTCAATTGTGCTGAGAGGCAATAGGCACAAACTAAATTCAGCACAGGAAGTTCCAGCTCCATATGAGGGGACACTTGGAGGATGAAAGAACAGGTTGCCCAGGGAGGTTGTGGAGTCTCCTTCTGCGGAGATACTCAGAACCCTCCTGGATGCCATCCTGCACAATGTGCTCTAGGTGATCCTGCTTGGCAGGGGCTTGGTCCCTTCCAATCCCATCCCTTCTGTTATTTTGTGATTCTCTGATCATGACAAATACACTGGATCCACAAGGAAACAGAAGGCTGAGATAATTAAATAGATGAACAATTATATTGACACTATAAATTTTATCAAAACTATTGCAATTGGCAAAAATTTTAAGGACTATCTTCAAAAAGCTGTATTATTGAGCAGTTCTTTAAACATGCTGGAATGAAATAAATATCTGTAAATACCTATACATTTGTCCAAAACCATCAACAAATAAATGCATGTTAGCTGGTGTGATAAATACATTAAAAATATATATATAAAAAAAAAATAATCAACCAACCAACCAACCAAAAATCCCCACATTATTATAATGGATTACCCATTTTATTGATGTGTCTAAGCTAAGGGGCCTCCAACAAATTCATGAAGCTCTTGAAGTAAATAAAATACTAATACTATGAAGACGTTATCTTTCAAGTACATATTTGCTAAGAATAACCTTTTTTAAGGTTCTAAACCTGCAATCTTTAACCTGCAATTATCTTACTCTAAACTGATTGTTGTTGACATATATAATTAATGCTTACAAAAGGACAAACCAGGAATTAAGGCAGGCAGCAATTATTTGAAGTATAATGTCTGCCAGATTAATGTTGCTGTAATGATTGTTCATTGTGTATTAAAACTGCATGACAGCATAAGAAGAGCCCTTGAAAACATGGTTCAGGGGAAAAAAATAAGATTATTTATATCTAATAAAAAAATCCAACTGACATGGCTGCAACACATAAGTTAATTTTTAGTTCTCATCTAAGGATTAATTGGACCCTCTATATCAAAACATCTCTTTGCAAACAGGCTTTTCTCTATTTGTTTAGATTATGCTTCCATGAACAGTATCTACTAAAGTCAGTGGAAGGTGGAACTTGCTTTTACTGAATAGGATTTAGGCTTACACTTCTAGTAGGCTCTTGCTGTCTGCATAAACAAACAATGATGGTGTACTTAACTATCTGGTTTTTGTTTTTATTTTATTTATTTATTATGTATATCATACCTCTTATTGCCAGGGTTTTTCTTTTGGCTAAGATTCTGATAGGCTTGAAAAAGATGCTTTAAAAAGACAAGCAAATATTTAGCCATTGATTCATGTCTCCCCTCTTCTGGTCTTTATAACATCAACAAATATATTTCAAAATACTGGAAATTTTCTTTAAAATTATATACCTGCAATACAACTGTCAGCTAGCAAGAGGAAAAGTGAAAGTCAGTAGATTTTTTAAAATGGGATAGGAGGAAAAAAATAGAGAAAAAGATAAATGTATTGTGTTAGTGTTCAGTAAATATTTCTGACCATAAACAGCAGGCACTATTACAAGAAGGATTAGTTTAATGAAAATTCTTTCAGATCATTGATAAATCTGAATGTTACACAAATGTAGCATATACTTCTATACCCATCACCTCTTCTTGTGAACATAGGGGTTTAATTTAGGCTCATTCCTGGCCACTCAGACCTGTCCTGAAGACCTGTCCTGAGTTATACTATAGGTGTCCATGAGACCTGCATACTGCTAACTTGTGGGCTTCCTGCACAGACTTTGCACCCAAGCTGTAGGTAGGTCTGTCTCCACTCCTTATTTGTACAGCCCCCAAAGGGACTCCGTGGTCTCACGCTGGACTTGACTCATGACCTTGCCATGCCTGGGGCTGCTGATGGACCCTGTCCTTCACCACTCTGCCGTGATGCTGTGGGCTGTGCCTTCATCAGGGAGGGTAATGCCCTGAAGCTCCAGGGCAGTCCTCTTCAATGGACCATCTGGTCTCTTGATGCTCCCTGGCATAGACATAAAACGGGGATACATTTTTAAATACTGCAAACCTCAAGTTAGGATTGTTTTCCATCACTTCGTAGTCATTTGTATCAATGAAGTGTCAACCCAAATACTGCTGTGTACCTCAGCTACTTGTAAAGCCCAGGGGAGAGATGTGGCTTCAAAAGCATGCAAGTTTTTGGATGTGACTAGAAAGTAAATACCAAACAATAGCTGCTGTGTTATCATGGTGTTGCCGTGGTCCCATGCAAACACTCAATGAAACTTTTTCAGATTCTAGAAGCAACACAACTCACAGATGTTTCATCATAGCGTAGAATTAAAATTCCTCCCTTGAAAGGAGTTCAGGCAGAACTGCCTGAAACATGATGGGTAATTGCTTCCATAATCAGACAATAGGAAAGGAATTTCTTTATGAACTTTAAAGAATCATAGAATTATAGAGTATCCTGAATTGGAAGGGACCCACAAGGATCACAGAATTGTAGGGGTTAGAAGGGACCTCCAGAGATGATTGGGTCCAACCTCCCTGCCAAACCAGGTTCCTTAGAGCAGGTTGCCCAGGTAGGCATCCAGATAGGTCTTGAATATTTCCAGAGGAGACTCCACAGCCTCCCTGGGCAGCCTGTTCCAGGGCTCCAGTCACCCTCAATGTGAAGAAGTTCTTTCACATGTTGGTGCAGAACTTCCTGTGATCCATTTTATGGCCTTTGCCCCTTGTCCTGTCCCCACAAACCACTGAAAAGAGGTTGGCCATATCCTTTGACTCTCACACTTCAGGTATTTATAAACATTGATAAGATCCCCTCTCAGTCTTCTCTTCTCAAGGCTGAACAGACCCAGGTCTTTCAGTCTTTCCTCATAGAGAAGATGCATCAGGCCCCTTATCATCTTTGTTGCCCTCCGCTGGACCCTTTCCAGGAGATTCCTGTCTTTTTTTGTACCGGGGAGCCCAGAACTGGACACAGTACTCCAGGTGAGGTCTGACCAGGGCAAAGTAGAGGGTGAGGGTCACCTCCCTTGACCTGCTGGCTGCTCTCCTTTTAATGCATGCCAGGATGCCATTGGCCCTCTGGGCCACCAGGACACACTGCTGGCTCATGATCGACCTGTTGTCCACCAGCACCCCCAGGTCCTTCTCTGCAAAGCTCCTCTCCAGCAGGTCATCTCCCAGCCTGTACTGATACATGTGGTTGTTCCTTCCCAGTTGCTTTTGTTAAACCTCAGATCATCAAGGACCATCGAGTCCAACTCCTGGGTCTGCACAGGACCAGCCCATAATCAGGCCATGTGTCTTAGAGCATTGTCTAAATGTTTCTTGAACTCCAGCAGGTGTGGTACTGTGACTGCTTCCTTGAGGAGCCTGTTCCACTGCTTGACCACCTTCTCAGTGAAGAACCTTTTCCTAATATCCAGCCTCAATCGCCCTGTCGCAGTTCCATGCATTCCCTTGGCTCCTGTAACTGTCTCCAGAAAGCAGAGCTCAGTGCCGCCCTCTCCACTTCTCTCATGAGGAAGCTGCAGGCTGCCATGAGGCCTTCCCTCAGCCTCCTCTGCTCTGAGCTGAAAAAATAAGGGACCTCAGCCATTCTGCATATGTTTTCCCCTCTAGACCCTTTGACATATTTGTAGACCTCTTTTGGGCATTCTCTAATAGTTTTATGTCCTTGTTATCATTGCATGCCAACACTGCACACAGTGCTTGAGGTGAGGCTGCACTAGCGCAGAACAGAGCAGGACAATCCCTTCCTTCAAGTGTTTGGCAGTGCTGGGCCTGAGGCACCCCATGATATGGTTGGCCCTTCTGGTTTCCAGGGCATGTTGCTGACTCATATTTAACTCGCTGTCAACCAAAATACCAGGATACCTTTCTGCAGGGCTGTTCTCCAGCCTCCTGTCCCCTGAGATAGTCTTATGCTATCTGAGATAAGATATCTTTATGTTGTTTTTCTTAAAAATAAAAGACGTTTTAAAGAAACTTAGTTGTTAAATGGACTATGTGGAAACAAACAAGACTTGTTTTCAAAAATTAGTAAGTATAATCCAGAGGGAAAAATAGTTCTCTGATAGGTAAAAAGTATCAAATGCATGAATTAGTTTGGCAAGTTTATAGTTTATGTGAAACTACCAGTCTACTGGTCTACACTATAGGTTTGACTCAGCAAATACTTGTCTAAAAGTCAAGACTAAGAATGCAGCAGAAATATATCTTTAAGCTGCTTACATACTGTGAAACTAAAATTCTCAAAATGATAACTATTAAAGTGGAAACATTAATTATATCAGTTTCCCATATTCACGCTGTTCTTTCCTCACCATTTAAGACTGTGATAATTTGCTATGTAGCACTGATCTGATACAGTGTCTTTGATACAACTGCAGACTCCATGCTGCTTCCTCTTAATCGACCTTAGAAGCATCTCCATGGGTATTCAGTTGAGCATTCTCAGCACAATGGAAGACAGCATTTTAACAGCCAAAAATCAGTTTCTCTCTGCAGCATCATATTTAGGGCAGTTCAGTGCATGGCAAATGGGCCAAAATTAATGCTGCTTAAGCAGCATTACCTAAGTGTTGCAGAGTCCTCTGAACAAACGCTGCTGAGCAGACCTGAATTCAGACTGGAACAGACTTAGGACTACCTGTACACCAAGTGCTGCTTCTGCTTTCTCTGTATTTCTTGATCAGATTGGAGAGGTGAATGAGATCATTTTACACTTCAGTGTTCTTCTCTCACCTGGCAAGCAACACCTGAAATCATAGTTAGATCATTAAGAGACATTTGACTACGTGAGCAAGTTGTAATTTTTTCTCTTTCTGAAGGTAAAGACTATGTCATTACTGAAGCTTGAACAATTACAGTCATGACTCTGGAAATGTGTTCAGCTACATGTATATGTGATATGTGTGCACAAAGGAGAAACAAACAAACAAACAATACTTCAGTAAGTGAGCAGGATTTTACATTTAGACAGAAAACGTGGATTTGGCCTGCTTCAATTCAATTTCTGCTTCATCAGACCCAAAGTAGATATCTAGTTATCCACACCACTGTAGAAAAATAAAATATGTTTTATGGAAACCTTATTACAAAGTAGTTCTTATAATTCTATTTTCCCTCCTTTTTCATTCTACTCTTCCTGTCTCAAATCTTTGTAAACAGGCTCAAATTGCAAATACAAATCTCATTGCAAAACATAAATAAAGAAATAAAAATTGAAGATTTAAAAACCATAATTATCAGTTTAGGAGTTAGAAGAGTATTATTCAGTTGTTTAGTCATAAAGTAAATAATTTTGCCTAACTGAGTTTAATAAATCTGTATGTCATCTGCTTTCAGTGTGTTATTTTCACCTTAAATAAAAGATTGTGTGATTTACCAGGGTCTGTGGAATTACTATTAATCCTTCTTGCAAAGCTATCTAACTTATGCATGTATCTACTACATGGGGTAGATTTGAAAAAGAGAAAAATGAGTATATTTGAAATTAAATTGTGCAACACAAGATTTTTGTTAAAGTGTGGGCTCACAGTGTTGGAAATTGATAATCCTGACATTTCCAAGGATTCTGAATATCATCTTTGAAATGCCCTTGCCAAATGGAGGGAGATAATGTTACTCTGCTGCTGCTGAGCCTCCAGGAGTCTCCAGGAACTGTTTGTTCTTGGCTGTTCCCACCTAATGCTGAAGTACTCATGCTACTGTTGCCTCTGTGTGCTTCTCAACTGACAGTAGTGACAGCAGAAAGTCATTGACTTCTCAAATATCTGTCCTCATTTTAGAAGTGTAATTGTTTCAAGGTTGAAAGAAAAAAAAAAAAGAGAGAGAGAGAAAAAAATAGAAAAAAAGGTTTTGTTATTAGTTTAAGATTATGTGAGGTTTAGGCTGTCTAGAATTAAATGTTGGAGGTTTAAGAAGTAGCCTTTTTTTGCTTATTTTAAGCTGGTGTTTTGAAGACTTTCAGTTAAGTTAAGGGAACTAATCACACACACCTTCAGATAACATTGAGCACCTTAGATGAGAATTTTAATAATGTTGGTAAATATTCTATTTTTCAACTTTTCAGAACATGGCTTAGTGCATGATCTCATTGCATCAAGAAATGAAGTGTATAGCAGGTTATTTTTGAAAATCAATGTGTTGGTTAGATGTCTTTCTAGAAAATAGTTATTGAACCTGTAGCAATAATATGATCAAATGTTCACCCACATCCCAGGAATTGTTTTGAATTTATCTAAACTCCCCTTTTCTCTAGGCTTGTTTTATTAAGAGTCAGAACCTGGTGCTGACTACAAGAAGACTTATAAAACTCATCCTTTAGTTCCAATGTTTTCTGAAGAGTCTGATGTTAATATGTAATCTCTTACTGTGTTGTGAAATCTCTTGGTGCTGACAGTAAATGATAATTCGAATGCAATGTGTACTGAAGAGAACAAATGACTATCACAAGTCATTTTTACTCCTTTGATGTGTAGTTAGGGTTTGCAAGAGGATTATATGATACTGCACTGACTGTTATATTACATGTCTCCAAACTACTACAAGATCTTGCTGTGCAAGTGACTCCAATAACGTCAAGTAAATCTTACAGTCTTCCAGTTTTCTGATCCCAGCTATTCTGTTATTCTGTTTTGTTGTTGTTATTGTTTTATATTATTGCATTATATTTTTACATTAAAATATACCAAAAAAAAAAAAAGGAAAGAGAAAAAAATAAATATCTAAAAAAAAAACACAACAGTGTAATAGAAACATTTCCTGAGGTTGGTTTTGCTACATGCGTCACATTCAGTTATCTTTATTTGAATGTATTTGCACAATATTTATGGAATTATTATACCTGCTTATACTAAAGTAGAAATATTAAAGTAGAAACAGATGCGGATATTATCTTGGAAGAATCTTGTCTTCATTGGACATTGGATTGGTGTTTCATTGGACAAATTGAAATGGCCAAACGTTTCTATTCTAAGAGATGCTAAATTCAGTCTAATAGAACTTTCATCTGAAATCTGGTTTGAAATAATAAAATAACCCCAAGTTTTGTGACAAAAAAAAAAAGAAGTCCATATACAGTATTTAGCCTTTTTTTTTTTTTTTTTTTTTTTTTTTTTAAGTTCTTTAACATAAATATTTGGGTGGTTAATTTTTTATCATACTCACGAACCTTCATTATACAACATGAATCCTTAGTGGTTTCAGGAACAGAAAACACTTCAAGTCCAAGTAAGACTCAAGACAATAAAGTGTTGCTACCTTATTTAAAGAGGTTAAAATCATGAATTGTCCTGATATTATCTTATTAATGATTTCAGAATTCCAGGTAAAATACTGTTGATTGAGAAACAGTGGGCAGAGTATCTTTCACACACTAAGTTGAGGTATTTCTGAAAAGGTGATACGTGAATTGATGTTTCAGTAGTAATGAACTATTACTTAGCAGTACATAGTTAACCTTGCAAACATTGCGTTAGAGCAGAATTAGATGTTTACATATCTGTTTAAGTTAATCAATTGATACATCTGTTGATAATAAAATTAATGTATTGATTTTTTGAAAATAGTTATGACATTCTTTCTTCCAAAGCTTCACAAATGACAAATCATTTAAGAAAGATTTTTTTAGAAATTAATATTTGTTGCTTCTTTAATTTTTTCACTTTTCTTCCCTACTTACTTTTATTAAAGCTCACTCTTGGTTCAATATCCTTTGAGTTTACCTGTGAGATTGCTTGCTCTGTGAATCTCTCCTTCCTGTAGAGAGGTTTCTCAGATAATAAAGGCATACTTCTGAGTACTGAACTATTCAGCCTATATGGTCAAGGGGCTAGAAAATGTGTATTGAAACCTGTCAGCTCAATGCTGACCTGAAAAACACGCAGTGCTGTTCAAAAAATAACTGTTAGAAGTACATTGAACCACTGTCAAAAGTTTCAGAGGTCACTGGAAAGCACAAATTCTTTGTGAATGCTTGTGGATGTTCTCTCGGGTATTAGCATCTTCATTAATGATACTTCATTAAAACCTGAGAAAAACTGTTTTATGAATAGGTCTCCTTTATTTCTATTATAAGGATTAAACTGTGTATATATATATATATATATATATAATTTAGGTGGGTTTTGCTGTTATTTTAAAGTCATGAGAAATAAGAGTTAGTAATACCTAATTATAAATATAGAATGCCTACCTTTAGCTCCATACTTAGACAGTCAGATAATTCTTATATACGGTATCAGCACCATGTATAGTAGATTTATATGCTGCTTTTCACACTAAATGCTTTGTTTTAATCATGTAGATACAATAAGCCAAAAGATGTGAATTTGCATCAGTTTTGCTGAACTATTCATTAAGGAGTACAGTCTTTCAGAAAATCTACAAATGGAGCATAACGTTTTTCAGTCCAAAACGTTTGGATTTTTCTATCTCAAATTGTTTTCCTTATCAATGTTTTCTTTAATTTTGTTCAAGATAAACACTCAATGCCACTTTAAAAGAGATGAATTTAAACACTGCATCTTGCTTTTGTCTAAACAAGACACTGTTAGCTTAAACTGAGTTTTTAACTTTCTGAGACAGATACCACCCACCACAGTCCAATATTTACCCAGATTTTATTTATTTACCAGTAATTATTTACCATTAATTATTTACCAATGATGTGTAAATGTGATGTGATTCTCTACTAAAAAACTTTCAGTTTATTTTATTTCTATGACAGAAAGACCTGGATGTTGTCATTGTTATCAAAAACCTTTCTACTCTGACTGTTAAAAGCTACATTTAACAACCAATAACATAGAAGGAAAATGAAGAAAGGTCATCTTTACACGATCATTTGGAAAACCAAGAAATCTATCCTTACATTTCAGAACATGATTCAGCATACCAGCTTCCCCCAAATTCATTTCATAGTATAAAGAGCATTGCTGTATCAACACTGTATCCTATACCACAATTCAAACTATCTCACTGCACTGGGGCTAATTTATTTGTTGAAATCACACATCTGCTCCACAATTTTGTGCTCAGAGTAAGACACAGCAAGAGATGCTTAAATACTTGCATCTGTCCCTGATTAGCTATCTTGGAAACTAATTAAGCAATCAATAAACAGAACAAGTACAAGTCAATGGCATCTCTGATAAGCGTGCATGATCTTAAACCTAAAGCAACATAGTTGTCAGCAATTACAAGGAATGCTATACCATCCTAAGGTTCATTAAGATACACTTGTACAGCTATTAAATCTACTAATAGATTTTGTACAATACATGGGGGGGGGGGAAGGGAGGTGTTCCAGCTTTACTGATGTAAAGAGTAATTTTACTTAACCATTAATAAGAAATGCCAGACATACTTTTTTTTTTTTTATATATAGAATAAATAAAACCATTTTGTCTTAATAATAAATGAACTTCCTGTTAAGTTATACCAGTAGCTCTTAGGGCAAGTTTTAGCTTGAACCTGATGTATTTCATGTGTTGCTATGGAAGCATTATATCTTTTTCTATTGGAAAAATTACATGCCTGAACATGAAACAGGATCTGACTGATTTGAACCCTTAAAGAAATCCTAACACATGAAGTGGATGACAGGATTTAAAATTATCTGTTTATCTGAAAACATTTACAGTTATTATTTTAAGATAAGCAAAAATGCAGAATTTATCACAGCGCTTAATCTTTTTAATGATGTTACATGTAATTACAAGGCAAAACAAAAACAAAACAAAAAAAAAAAAAG